AACCTATATTTTACTAAAATGGTCTTTTTTTAAACATCTTTTAATAACTTATTCTAAGGACTGATTACATGGATTGTGACTACTGGGCTTAACTCTGATTTTTTTTTCATTTTATTCCTGTCTACAGATGGTGTTTTTATTTTTTCCTTGATTCAGAGGTAAAATAAAATAGACCAAGTTGATGGTCAGCCTTAACAATAGATGAAGTCCTCACTTTTCAAAGGAACACACAAAAGCAGCCACAGTTCTGTTGAAACAAGTCCATTTCTTTCTTTTTCCAGAGCTCTGCAACACTGAGTGTAGTGTTTTGATTCGAGACATGACTTTGCTCCTCCAGGACAATACTGCCATGCTCCCAAGTGACACCCTAGTGAGCAACGCATTATTCAGGGTGAAGTGAAGCCATGGACGTGGGGGCTATCGAACTAAGTGAGGAGACCACTGTAGTCTTTCTGTTTGGCTTTGTCCCCAAATGACCACTTGGGATGTGTGACACAGTAAATACATCTGTGACAACCATTTTCTTAAAAAAAGACACCAAACAACTTTTACTTATTTGTTATAATTTGTTTTGGGAAATTAAAGAAAAAGAGAGAGAGAGAGACTGGATCAAAGGAAAGGGGACACAGTATAACCGCTACTCATTGTCCCTCGTCTCCAACTGGGGTGAAGCCCAAGTGGCCGCCTAATGGAGACATAGATGAAGGGGGACCAACCCCCCCCCCGGGATTTAGTTATAAAAATGTGCATTTATTCTTACATGGTTAAACTTCAGTCACCTTCAAAGGACTCTTCATTTGATGCAATACACCTATCAAGACTTTTTTCCACTGCTCAAAACAGTTTTTGAACTCATCGATTTTGATGCCTTTTAGAGCTTCTGTCAGTTTTTTGTTGTTGTTGTTTGTTTGTTTGACCTCTTCCACATCAGCAAAATGTGTCCCTTTGAGGACTTTTTTTCATCTGGGGAAGCAAAAGTCTCTAAGGGCAAGATCGGTGACTAGGGAGGGTGGGGCTTGGGGGTCACACTGCTTTTAGTTAAAAACTGCTGAGTACTCAGCGTGCTGTGGGCAGGTGCACTCGTAAATCACCCACCATGAAATGGGGAAACACATTCAAAGAGTCTTCAAAAACAATTCACTGAAGCCGAATGCAGCCTCTCACAACAACACCAGCTGGTGCACTGATACAGATTGGGCCCTGAAACACTCACCTAGCGGGGGAAGCCTGCACTATCGGTGGCCTGCCCTCCAGGAGATAATTCTAATTTTTCGGGAGGTCTCCTCCTGTTCAGTAAGAATTTCTTTCTGATAGTTTTGATAGCTGTGGGGATATTTTATCAGAATTTTTCCTTTTTAGCAAATATGTACTTTTAAACTTTTAGTTGATTTTATTGTTCGATTTGTTGATTACTGACATATCACTTCTCATTTCTCATGTAAAAAGCTAATCCATGGAATTTTAAAGTTTTCCTTCGTAGTTGAAAGATCTTGTAAGAATTGATAAAGTTCTCTTTGTAAAACAAACATTTCATCAGAACTAAATTACCTTCTTAATTTACGTTCTTATATTTTTTGGGCGATCAATCTCTTTTTAAGGTAGAGGAAACATACAGTTATCCATGTTTCTCTGCCTAGAAATAGTTTATGGTAAATAGACATGCTTCTTGATTTAAGCAGCCTTAGGATGGTATTAAGCTAGTTTCTATATGTAGTGCATAATAAATAATAAATTTGAATTAAGTTTCCATATCAGCATGTTGTGATAAGTAAAATATTTTAGACCAAGTAAAAAACAATCCATGATTTTCTGATTATTACCGTTCTTTGAAATTATGGACTGCCGCTGGGACTCTAGTTAAAGTAGCATAGTTAAGATGGGTTTGTGAAATCAGCATGTAATCCAGTAGAATCTGAGCCCCCATTGCTCAGATTCTGGTGAAGAATTTCTTCTGTTCACTTCTGTCTTTCCAGTGACTAATAGCCATTCAGATATATAGATAGATATATCTATCTCTCTATAGATATATTTTGAATGTAAATAAAATATAGTTCAATGAATAGATGAAGGAATTATAATTTTAAGCTTAAGCTTGCTGACATACAACACTTTTTGTTTAAGTAAAATAAAGAATTAAGAACTGGTATCAACATCAAAGGGCTGATGCATGTACCATAAATATATTTCATTTTTTTCCTATAATGCATTTGATTGGCAACATATTATTGTTTTACTTTGCTGACAATAAGACATTTCTCTCCTCATTGCTTTTATGCATTTTTTTTATTCAACTGGCTATACTTACTTTTAAAAATTGAATTTTATTTTGTAGTGTAGAATAGTGTAAATTAGACAATATATGTATTTCTTTAAATTTGTTTTTGTGAAAATAATGTTTTCTTCCATACAAGATGAGGGGATCATTTGGCATTCATAAATATACAAACTTCAGAGTTTCATCATAGCTAAAGTTTGCCTTTGCCACCCACATGAGGTCACTGAATTGTAAGTTATGTTCCTTGAATACTTTGACCAGGACATAGTTGACTTTATGAGAGATTTAGAGGTAACGGGGGGAAGCATAAAATGCCATTCTTGTTATCAAAGCAAATGTTTTTTTCTCTCTTACTGTCAACCTAGATTAAAAGTTAATCAAGTAAATATCATGTTTTTAGCTTTGAGCATCTGTATTTATTTGGCTATGACAAAAACTCTTTCTTTCAATGCTGAGTATTAGATACCTATTTGGAGTGCTTATTTGCTACAACTTTTCTAAGAAAATGTAGCCTGAAATGGATTATCAGCTTTAGGATGTTTGTTATAGTTCTGTATGCATATAGGTTTAAAAGAGACATACAAGATACCTGAGAAAGTCCTTGCTGATCTCTACAGTACCTGCATCCTAATAGGTCATATTTCAGCTCCCATCTTTTGACAGCCTGGCTCTTTGGAAAAGCTCTGTCCCTGGTGCTGAAACATCTCATGATGCATGAGCACGTCTTGCTGGTAAATTCTAACGTCAGCCACTGCGTGATAGCAATTCATCGGGATGTAAAACCCGTGTTTGGGAAGCACACTGCATTATCAAGTCTCAAATTTTGTTTGTGTTAAATTAACAGTTCTTTCATTTCAAAGAGTTCATAACAATTACCTTCCACATTGTGAAAAACAGCTAGGATTTAATTAGAAACCATCAAGCTATCTATCACAAAAGCAAATGTCTAGTATTAGCAAATAAACTGATATGACAACAGTAATGGAAGTATTTACAGGACAGTGACATGTTGATACTACATAGCAAGCTACTGTAAGAGAAGTTGAACACTTGATTAGGAACAGGTACAGGGCAATTAACATGGAAACCTTGTAGCTTTGCAGAGATGAGTGATTTGCCTATGAAAAGTATGGCTTATTATCTCAGGTGGTTTTCCATTCTTTCAGGATATCTCCTTTGTACACAAATACATTTATTTTGCATGGCTATGGGATTTGGTCTGTAAATACAACTAAAACCCTAAAAGATACTGGCTGGGTTTTTTTTCCCCCAAGTAAAAGTTATATGTTACTACATAAGACTCTTAAATAATTATGTTCCTGACAGTTAAATTCAATGATTCTCAATTTTTTAAGCTGTGTTTTTAGGTGCCTTAAATGCAGTCATAGAGAACTGCACTTAATTTTTTTACTTTGAATTTTTCTGAGAAGATTTTCTTTTCATTAAGAAAGCTGTCCTCTTAAATTTTTTGTTCCACTCTGGAATTATCTGACTCACGCCATTTTTACACTGGGGTGAAGTAGATAAAATGGAGAACTTCATAAAATGGAACCTATAAACTTCTACTATGAGTTCAATAGATTTTAAAGGAAAATTCTAAAATTTTAGTCTGGGAAAATCCCAGTCTTCTAAAATTTTAAAAATCATTGTTATTCTGGGGTGAAAGGACCATCCACTTTGATCAGAAAGACTTGAAGTCAGCACCTGTTAGTTGCTATACAAGTGTATACATGTCCTTCTTTTGGGATCATGTAGAACATATTTCATTGCCATGTTTGCAACACAGGAAACTACTGGATTATTTGCTTGTTATTGCAGCACAGAGCATTAAGTGTTTAGAATCAGAGAGAGATTTGAATACTACACGTAGATCTTAAGCCCTGCCAAACTTTGGCAGTATTTTCTGCAAAGAAAGCATCTTAAAGTTGAGTTACTGCTAATTATCAAAATAAGAACTTTCAGTTCCTCAGCTATTGATTTACATTATGTCAGCTAACTAACTAAATCCACTACAAGGGCTTCTCTAAAGAAAAGGGAATCTTTAAGTGAATACACAATTTCCTAGGGGATTTCTTTTCATCACTAGTTAAAGGGTTAAATACAATGTTATGATTGCCTTTCAATATTGATAAAGTACCTTCTCCAGTCCATTTTTGTGCATTATAAGAAGGTCGTTACAGCACCCAGTAAAAGAGTCTTACTCTTAGCATTTCAGATTTCATTTTAGAAAAACACTTTTAAAAATGTTGTCATTTAAATGATATCTGGTCAGATGGCATTTCCCAGAAATTATTCTTTATTTAAAAACAAAAACAAGACAAAAGCAATTGATTTTAATCCAAAATGTATTTTTTCTTATAAAAGAGGTCCACATACTCACTGTGTCTACTCTACAGCATTTGTCCATTTTATTACACCACGTGTCAATTCAAGTTTATCTGGTCACTGCAAAAGCTCGTGGCTAATATGTGTGATACAACACAGTAGGAGGTATTGCTCAGTTCCACTACTCTTATATACTTAAAAAAAATACAGAAATGCTTTTGTCCACTGTAAGTGCAGTCCAGACATAAAAGTTACATGAAAGTTCTAGAAAATGGAATTATCTTATTTGGTTGCCACAGTACCCATTGAAGCCAGTGAATTAAAATGCTGAACTTGTACAATTTCCATTGGTCAGGAGCAGCATCGGTGAAGCTTAAACTTCCTTCTAAAAAGTAATATTTCTCTGCCTTTTTTCCCCCCAAGCACAACTACCGTCTTGAGCTTTTCTTTGAAGTAGATTTAGTCAGTCGTTTTTAAGATATATCTGTTGGCACACCTATAACAGTTGCTTTCACTTCCAGTGCTGTACTGTTTTCTTTGCCTGCTTCCCAGAGGCCGATCAGTGGAGGGTAAAGCTCACCGAGTGCGAAGGTTGGTTTCTGTAAGTAACTCCTCACATACCTTTGTCCAACATCACAGGTCATTTTATTAGAGAGCCAGCTGAAAACACCTATCACGCCAATAATCCCCAGAAAGCCTGCAAGGCAGACCATAAATGTTGTGATGTTACCCTTTTCATAGTCTTTTCGATCAGGGTCCAACTCTTTTGTGGTGACATTGACACACTGTTTTCTGTGTTTCTGATAGATGGTGGGGACATCAATACAAATGTTATACTCAGTGGATGGGTTCAGATGAGTGAGATTGTATACCTTGACATCAGAAGGTATTCGAGCACTTTGGGCGGCATGGGAGTTGTCTGTCTTGACAAAGGCTGTCCACTTCACGCTGGATTTGAGAATCTTAGAACTTGCCTTCCAAGACAACAGAACTGAATTGGCCTGAACATCTTTTATTTTAATGTTCAAGGATCCATTGTTATCCCGAGGAAAAGAACCATCCACTTTGATCATCACAGACTTTAAGTCAGCACCAACCAGATTAGTTGCTATGCAAGTATATAACCCTGCTTCTGCCACAGTTATGCCACTTATATCTAGCGTGCCTTCTGAATGGACGTAGAACTTGTCTGTCAGGGTGTTAGGCAAGAGTTTCTGACCAGAAGGTGTTACCCAGTAGATTTCAGGCTGTGGCTCCGCGGTAGCTCTACAGTGTAAGGAAACATAGCTCCCAGCTTCTAAATCCAGGTTGGAAGGAAAGCTCTCTGGCGCTATAAGAGGGAGACAGATTTCCATCATTTCCCGGAAGTGCACCTGCCGGACATTTTGGCCTTGGAATTCGGGTGGGTCCACGCAGAAGAGCGACTCTGGCTCCATAAATCGAATGTTGGTTTTGTTCATGTTGATCCAGCGGATGACACAGTCGCACCTGATGGGATTGCTGTGTATGCTGATCTCCTTGAGGCTGGGCAGGGACTCGATCGTGCCGTGGTACAGGGCGCTGAGGGCGTTGCTGTTCAGCATGAGGGACTCCAGCTTGGGCAGCCTGAAGAACGCATTGGGGTGAATGTAAGACAACCTGGGGTTGTTTGTTGCTTCTATTTTTCTTAAATCCGGCAAGTTGTCCACAGCAAGACTGTCGATGGAAATGAGCTCGGGCATGTTATTTATCCCTACCTCCTTTAAGTGTAGCATATTGCTAAAATCACCCCTCTGGATTCTATTAATGGGATTCTTATTGAGATCCAGAAATTTGAGGTTTGCAACTTTTTGAAGAGCAACGTGGGGCACTTTCATAAGCCTGTTGTCATAAAAAGAGATGCTTTCTAAGTTTTCAAGCCCAACCAAGGCATTATCTGGTACTTCCGTGAGGTTTATACCTGCTATCACCAGGCTGCGAAGGTTGATAAGTGGCTTAAAGTTCATGTCTTTGATTCTGATGATTGGATTCTCCCCAATCATCAAAATCTCCAGATTGGGAAGAGCGTCGAACCACTTACTGTTGATCATCTGCAATCTATTTGAATTGAGATGAAGTCGAAGAAGATTGTGTAGGCCAATAAAGGCTCCTGGCGAAATCGCAGAAAGCAAGTTGTGATTAATATAGAGCTCCTGTAAGTTGCTCAGTCCAGACAGACATTTGTCAGGCAGCTCAGTGAGTTTGTTTTCCTCTAGGTACACGGAGAGCAGCTGAGGCATGTTTTTGACATTAATATTGGTGACCGAAGATAAATTGTTTTGTGATAAGTCCAGGCCAGTAAGGTTCACGGGCAAGTCTATGGAGTGTTCAATTTCGGCAATGTTGTTCGTCTGCAGGAGCAGAACCTGTGTGTCAGCAGGCAGCCTGGCTGGGACATTTAAGAGACCTAAGTCATTACAATCCACAGTAGATGCGTCCATATAAATGGATCGGGGTGTAAACCAAGGCCTGACTTCACACGTACATAATTGTGGGCAGCCTGCTTTCTTGTCTACAGCTTGCACGAGTGTCGTGATCGCTAGGCTCAGTAGCACATGCGTTCGGAGTGGCATGCCCTTCATCTTAGCTTTCCTCCTCAGCAACAGAACGGGCTCTGAAGGATTCCACAGTCACTGCTAGTACGTTCGGCGGGGGCCGACTGACAGGGAAGACGGCTGCATGTGTCACACGATGAAGGCCGTGGGCCTGCAGCGCCTTCCTTCATGGAACTCCGTGCCGGCGCCGCGGTTGTCCTGTCCAGAAATGTCACACATATTGGACAAGGGAAGGCTGCTGTCGCCTCTGTGGGAGGGGACCGAAACGCGTTTTGAAGACGGAGTGAGAATAGATGGTCACAGGAAGTTGAGCAATTCATTTATTTAGGAGTGTAATATTCAAATCCCGCACTAGCTCAGTACTTGCAGGAATAGCAGCAGCGTGATGCTAACTATAATAAAATAAAGTATAAAGGAGAGAAGAAAAAGAATTAGTCCAAAGGGAAAAAAAAATACCGTCATTAATATCAATTAACTCATTACAGTGACCTCACGTATATTCTTAAAGTTGATGGTTAATTCAATATGTGACTTCAGCCTTGATAGTGATTGGCCCAGACACTGGACAGGCTGAGAAATGGAATCTTTAGAAGGCTGAAATTACAATAAACATAATGAACATGCTTCCACAATATTTCTGTTCTTTCCAAATTTTAGTTGTTTGTACCTTGTAGTTGTATTTATTATAGTCGTCATTCTCTTTGACAATTAGTTTATGGGAAGAAAAGAAAACCTTTCCATGGTGATAGGCTTTGCTCCTCTTCGACAGGCAAAATTAAAGGGTATAAAGAAACGATAATGTTCGGTTATAATCAAAGGCATTAGCCCGCGGTCCCTCTAGTCCCCAGGGAATAACTGTGACGTGAACTGGAAGTCCTCGTATTCGGCGGGACTCCCCGTTTTCATTCCTACTTCTCTCCATGCTCTCCGTTTTAGCAAGTGACTTCAATTTTGCAGTATTTGGAAGAGATGAAGTCTGACTTGCCATAGATGTACCTGTATGTTGTCATTCTTGAGGGGAATTCAGATTAATGTTTCACCGTTTTATTTTTCCCTGAAAATAACTTAGATTCCATTAGTCACTAACAGTGAAAAAAGTAACTTTATTACAGCAATAAAACAGACGCTTAGCTATTCCTTCTTTTAAATGGATACTGATGTCTTTATCACATGAAAATAGGCAGTGCAGAACCAAGCTGCAGTTCGACCATGTGCCGCGCCTGAAGATGCCCCGCTGCCTTTGCACACACGCTCCATGGGCGGGGGCGCGGCCGGCGAGCCCCGCAGGCACAGGGTCAGCCCGCGGACTCGGGCGGCCAGGGCGGTTCCCTCGGGGGCTCGGGCTCGGTGCTGGGAGCACTTGTTCCCTCCCCTCTGTCCAGCGGTGACACTCCTGCAGGTGTCCGTGACTGACTCTAAGACTGAGACGGGGGCTTCAGTGACAGAGATAAATATAATTGGTGATGCTGTCTCTTTGGAGAGAAACTTCTTTTTCATTTAAAAAAATTCCTTGTTTTTCAAAACTATAAAACATTTACAACTCAAAGTCACACCTGATACTCCTCTTACCCTTTAAGATATGTGATTTTTATCTAAAGCCAGATGCTAAAGTTCAGATAAGTACTAAGTTATCTTGAATTAACAGTGTCTGCTTTTCTTTTTTTCTTTCATCTCTTTATCTTAAAGGAGCCTTTCAGCTGTTACTCATAATGGCTTTTTTTTTTAATTTTCTTTTTCAATTGCAGTTTACATTCAACACTACTCTGTGCGCGTTTCTGGTGAACAGCACAGCGCTCACACCACCGGGTGTGTTACAGAGCTCCCCCCGGTATTCCCAGTGCCCGGGCGGCACCGTGCCTGGTTATTACATTGTTACTGACTGAATTCCCTGTACCGTACTTTACATCCCTGCGACTATTCTGTAACTACCAATTAGTACTTCTTAATAACTTTTTAAAGTAGATTCTGAGCCCCTTGAGGAAGTCATCTAACACAGCTCCTCCCCCACTGAGGGTGCCTGAGAAATGCTTAGCCCACGGAGGCCCCGCCGCCCGCAGTCCCCTCCTTCCTCCCTGTCCCCCACTTCCACCTCCCTTGTGCACACAGCCTTCTCTCTGCTGGTAGAGCCAGCCGCGCCTCGGACTCCTCTCCCTGCCTGGAATGCCTGTTTCTGTGTCTGAAGGTGACTTGCGCCTCAGTTCAAGCCTCGCCTCTCTGGGGAGCCCTCTGCATGCCCCCCACCGCAGCTGTCGTCAGCTGCCCCCACAGTGGTCTTGGCTCGGGCCCCTGCCCGCCACAGCCCCTGCCCGGCGCCCGCCTGCCCACGACTGCGAGCCTGCCGGACTTTGCTCGCGCCTCCCAGGCCTGGAAGTTACAGTGTAGTAGGTGCCCAGGAAATGTTTTGAATGAACCAAAACAGAAGTCACGTTAATTCATGAACGTATATGCCGTAGTCATCTTTCTCACATAATTTCGGCATTTCAGTCTGTTCCGTTTCCTAATTTCAATGTTTGGCTGTTTTAACATACATCAGTGTACCCCTTACACAGAATGTGTTAGCTCTGTCACCAAATCCAAAGGTTAAATAGGAGTGTAATATAAAGGAACATTAGACATTAACAGAAAGGGAGTCTCACATGTGTAGTTTTTCCCTTAATTTACTCAGTCACCCTTTACTGAGCACCTTCTGTGTCCCAGGTAGCGGTGTGCTAGCTGGAGGACAAAACTTGGGCTTGGTCTCTCTCCTCCGTCAGCAGGGGTCACAGGGCACCAGGTGGTTACAATTCTGTGTCAGGGCGGACATGCCACCACAGAGGAGGGGCGCCTGAGAAAACCCAAAGAGCAGCCTGTTGCGTCTTCATTCCCAGTGTGGACAAAAAGCCGAGACACAGAGGGCCACACCCGCTTCGGGGTGTCCCAGGAGCGGCTTGGCTGGAGAAGTCAGGGCTGCCCGTGCGCGGGTCCCCTCCCCTTTGTCCAGCAGCTCAAAGCCACGCCTGTGCCCCCCCCCCCCGCCGTGTCAACAGCAGCATTAGAGACATTAATGATGAAATGTGGCGGGGGAGGGGGTTTCACAACACTGCTTTTTATTTGGAAATTATTCCTGGGAGCTTTTTCTGACATTTGTACCTACTTCTAATTAGAAACTCTTTTCTGACCTCATTTCATCATTGTATAGCCTTGTGCCAGAAGCAACCACATTTGAGCTAGATTTGTCTTGGAAGCTTTTGGATGTAAGGAGAGTTCTTATAGTGGTGAACAGATTCAAATTTTGTTTGCCCAGACTGGTAGGAAGAAATTGTCAGCCCAGGAAGCACAGTAGGAGGTCTGGACATTGTGCCTTTCTTCATGGTAATATTGATTTTTTTCCCATGTCTTTGAGCTGATCATGCTGATTCACTAATGGACTGTTTGGCAGGAGTTGTTTGTGGAGAGGAAGGCAGTGCTAACGCCTTGCAGGGCAGCTCTTTATGGGTTTCAAAGCCCTCTCTTACTCATTGTCTATTTTATATTAACAATGACCTTGTGAGGGGCGTGGGGAGGGACTTTGGTTCTGGTTTTTTAGGTCAGGGCATGGAGACCCATGTGCTGAGGTCACACAGCTAACAAGTGATGCTGTGGGGTGAGAGCCCAGGTTTTGTCTTCAGGACCGTGGCTCTTCGCAGTAAACCTGCATCGCGCACACACGTGGAGAAGAGATGAAAGACTCTTTAATATCACTTGTTGTTTTACTTCTCAACAGAGCTGGCACTTGCTTAGCCTTCAGCTTTTCAAGTTTAGAAGACTAGTTTTATCCCTCTGCTAATAGTGACTAATGTGAGATTCACACTAAGCAAACTCGCGAGGGCCCAAACCAGAAGCCGGCACTGCCGTGTGGTGAGGCGCGTGGCAGCCAAGAGCACGGACACCTGACTCTGTGGGCCAATGCTTTTCTCCATTTTTTAAAACAGGGCGTGGTCCCTGGCTGGTGTGGCTCAGTGGATTGAGCACCAGCCTGTGAACCGAAGGGTCGCTGGTTCGATTCCCAGTCAGAGCACATGCCTTGGGCAACATGGGTTGTGGGCCAGGTCTCCAGTTGGGGGTGTGCAAGAGGCAACTGATACACATCGATGTTTCTTTCCCTCTCTTTTTCCCTTCCCCTCTCTCTGAAAATAAATAAATAAATAAAGCCTTTAAAAAAATGGACTTGGACATACAAATTATGAGTTTCCAGCTGGCTCTCAAGTCTAGAATCCGAGGCGGGGAGTCAGGATCAGAGCCCGTCACCGTCATGGTTGGGAGAGCCTGACGTGCGCCCTGAAGGAAAGGTCACCTTGTCACAGGAACCGCCGTGGCTCTTAAGCCGCAGGGCCCTCGGCGTAACTTGGGTCTCAGGCCTCTGTGCCGGGAGGCTGTTCCTGGGTTCGTTCTTGGTCACTCACGTCTCTGTCCTAATCATGTGTGTACATTTCTGTTTTTCCTTTGCTGGACATAAAGTTATTAGACATGAGATTATTAGATTATTGTGTCAACAGACATGCAGTTATTAGATTATGAGTCCCTTCCTAGATGAAGAGGCTTTTATTATGAGGGACTGTGCAAAACTCACTTTTGATTTGATTATATTAGCACATTCACTTTAGCACATTCGCTTGGTTGATTAGCACTGAGCCCAGCACCCCCAGCGCAGCGGTCGCTCAGCAAGTGCGTGCTCAACGGGCCTGTGTACCATTTCTGTCGGACGGCAGCGTGTGGAATAGTGATTAAGATGATTCTTTCCTCTTAAGTAACTGACAATAAAAAATGCAGGGGGAAAAAAGAGAAAAACGCATGTCCTCAGATCTTTATAAAACCTTTTTCTTACAGCCTGGTAGTTAAAAAGTATTCCGGTGGTACTGCAAAGTGTCCATCTGCAAATCAGGCATAGCTCGCTTTCCGGGCACCGAGTGGTAAATGTGGCCGTTCTTCAGGGAATAGCTCTTCGCTTCACCACCGAGAGTGCGGGCTCCGCTGTTGGCCGTTTGGGGATTTGGGTCAACTGACAATTGTGATGGTGGTATTTATTTTAGAAGGACAGATTTCAGTTTGTTTTCATGTACATCTGTATGATTTTTAAATATAAAAATATATTATTAAAAATTAATTGACCAGCTTAATCACATTTTTACTTGTTGAAAAATTGTGATGCTCTGGGCCCATCATTTTTATCCTTCCTCTCCTCCAACTTTACTTCACCCACGTTTCCGTTTGGAACACATGGA